TATGCGAATACGATCTAGAGTGCCAATGAAATATTCCAGAATATGATCTTATGCTAAACAAGCTATGAATAGTACAGCAAGTGATTCAGTTATGAGTTTGCTCTCCGAATTCTCCTCGTGAATGGAATCCAGTAGAGAGACAAAGTAAAACCCAGTTATTTACTGGTAGTCTCGAAACTAGGTTGACAATAGTGGATTCCTGTCACTCCGCAGTCCTTCTATATTACTATGAGGTGCAGGTTTTGCAGACTATGAAATATCCTCATTCGGTGTTAGCGAAAACGAGATGAACTTGTGACTGTCCTGTAACAGACACGATAAAGATCTCTTTAACACTAACCCGTATATATATATATACAATAGATAACTGTACATATAGATAAATTGGCATACTGATAGATTAATTGATAGATAGTAGGTTAGATAATAATACGGATTAATAGATATTTGGATGGATGGATGGATATTTAGATAGATAGATAGATGCCATTCCAAACACTTACAATGTTTGAGTGTGCGTGTGTCATAGAATGAATTTGTCGGCCCGCCCGTAAGTCTGAGTGATTTGAACAGAATGAGGCATTAGTATAGGCAGGACTACGATTGTGTAAAGTATAATGCAGTTCTGGCTGCGTTGGTGAGCTGAGCAGATGGGCCCAACACCAACTCTATCATTAACTCTATCAATCGGGCACAAGGTATTTTTATATGAGAGGCATGCTTTGAAGTCCACTTTTTCTTTATATCTCTCAGAAAATGCCGTCTGCCAAGACTCATCTCGGCCCAGGTACATGTCATAGCAACAAATACGAAATCAAACCAGACAATTCGTGGACCACAACCCTAACTTCTTACCTGTGCCGACATTCACTGCAGACAACTCCCTGACCACCTTTCTGGTACCAACAGGGCTGATTTGGTTGGTCCATTTGCACACGGCAGTTGGCGCAAGTCAGGCAACCTGGATGGAATCCCACTTCTTCTTCTTGAGCCGTTTGATCGACCAGGTCTGAGCATTTGGTCATCTCGCCCACTGCAGGGCAAGCACCGAAGTCAACATCGACCAAGGGAGTGTTGACAGAGCCGAGATTGTGATTGGTGCCAACCCTGCTCAAATTGGCCTCGTTCACCGCTCCGTCAGGTCCCCAAGCAACGTCTTCGTTACCATTTTGAAAGAGTGTGGTATCATGATTGGGAATACCGTCGGGCAGAACAATTGGGTCTTTTGTAAAAGGAATGCGACCCAGGCTGGTATTGGAAAAGCCCTCTTCATCCGATAACCCCATTTTTTTTCCTTCCTCATCCTCGTCGTCAATATTATCACTTTCTTCAACATTATCTTCATCTTCTACTTCTTCGCCGCCCTCCTCACCCTCCTCTTCCTCTTCTTCTTCTATCTCCTCCTCTTCCTTGTCATCACATTCTCCAGCCTCCTGCAACGAAGAGGTCCTAACTTCCGTGTGCTCACCAAACTTTTTCATCTCCTCCCTCTCGTGTCTAGCCTCGAAGAAGTGCTCCACATGCAGTACCTCTTCTTTGCTGTTTCTAGCTCTCACCTCCTCAACGGCCTTGACAATAAACGGGACCGTCTTTAACCTATTCGTTTGGCTGATTGCTGGTTGTCTACAGAAGCCACATTCTCGGCTTGCTTTTGCGTCCAATTTGTCATCGTTCCCCTTCAATTCCTGGCAAGACAGCTGAAGCTGAGCGTCCGGTTTATGTCTTTTTCCAGTCCTCAATTTGGTGTCGGGCCAATTTTTTCCCCATTCTGCCGCATCCGCCTCAGTTTTGGGTCTCTTTTCGCCGTAACCTCGCTCGCCTCCAGACTGTACACCCCTTAGACGATCCTTTTCCTTCATTTCTGCCATGTAAGCCCTCCGTTTTCTGCCACCTTTAGACCTAGTTCGCTGTGACCTTGATGCCATGATCACTGCATCTTCCTCCTCCTGACAGGAGGGAATGTTTCGGTCTCTTTCCATCGTCCCACAAAAGAGCACCATTTGCCTGGCAATACCAACAGTCTCAGTCTTGGCATTTGCAACCGTCTTTCCAGCATCCGATTTGCCCAGACGACTTGTGTGCAATGCCGGCATCATCACCTCAAAAAGTCCACCTCTGGCCGAACCTGACGAATGAAGCTGTCGGTTCCAGGGACGGCGAAGTGTGAGGATGAAACGTGTCGTCAAGAGGGGTCGAGCACAAGCCCTACACGTCAAGAGTCCGTTACCCCTTTTCCGATCGACCGACATCCCGACTGGGTCTTCAACACTCTCGACGAGTGTCGTCTTCTCTCGACGATCCGTTGAACTGTATCGGTTCAACAGTCTCACCTCAGCTCCAGCTTCGTGACAGGCGCCCTTGTCATCGTCACCCTCGAAGTCGGTGTGTAAAGCGTTGGAAGTGTCATGGCAATCGGAGCCATCATCGTCACGCCGTGCGATCGGTGCAAGGGACAGGTTGGGCGAAGTGTTGGAGAGCGCGTTGCGAAGGGCTGGTTGCAGTAGACGTTGCAGATCGGCCACATGATCAAGCGGCAATGAGGGCTGGAGACGATGCATGGTTGGGTTGAGCCGAGTGCTCGACGGCGAAGAGAGCTTGGCACACCGAAGAGGGTAGTCACAGTCACTGAGCAGCAAAGTCATGCTTGAACTGGAAAATAGAAAGAAGGTATGCGAGAGACTTGAGCCTACAGAAAATATTAAATTAGGCCAGTTTGTTGGAATAAGTTAGAAGCATTAGAATTAAAAGTAGAGTTAGCAACAGTTGAGGCTTGGAAATTAAGAGAGTTTCCTATACGAGTTTGCCAAAATAATAAATAAATAACAATAATAATAAATGTAGGTGAATAAAGTAGATTAATAAATAAGTCAATAAAGAGTCTACCTAAAATGAATGTGAGATATTCAGTGTGTTTTTTCTTTTAGTTAGTGAATTAGCCTCACCGGAAGCCTATGGAGGAGCGGAGACTGATAAAGTGCGCTTGTGCTGAGCCTTCGTCTGAGACCTCCGTAACGGATATTGTTAGAACAGGAAGGCATACTTTACGAAAACAATAGCATGCTCAATTTAGTTCACTTAAGGTGAATTAAGGGCTAATAGTTGAGGTTTCCTAAAATAAAATGGGCAGACGTCAGGATGACATCGAGTTTCACTTAGCTTTACCTCCCAAAAGGCTGTCCTATCCGGAACAGATTTCAGTTTCGACCTCCTCTGAAATGGTCTCATCCACACCCCTAAGGGGATTCGAACCCGGGTCGTGAGTATCGCGGTGATATTACCCTTCCACTGCACTACCTTCGGTTCCAATTGGTCACAGTTCAGATGGAATATTCGAGGCAAACCAAGCCTCGTCCAACTCACGTTCGATGGCGTTACTTATTTTCGATATAAGTAGTTTTAGGGACCATCACAAATTCTTGAATAAGAAACTTAACAATCACTATGTAGAAAAACTGGGTTTCGACGAAGCCCCTAATGCAGTGATTCCAAAACTGTGCGCCGCGGCCTCTTTACATGGACGCCGAGAATTATTGTAAAAGCTTTAATTGGAGAAAATGTGTAGTAATTTGCCGGCTCATCCATCACATTAATTATTAAATATTAATTTAATGTTAATAAAATAAAATAATAATAATAAAGATCACGAGTTTTATTTATTTTTATCTCTTACTTACGAATAGTCATATTTAGAGTAGGACGCCATGGAAAAATTGTAATTAAAAAAGGGCGCCACGACTAGGAAAAGTTTGGGAACCACTGCCTTAATGGATTGATGTTGGAGTAACTTTCATTTCGTTTAAAGAGGCGAATGGAAGTGCTTTGAAGGTTGCTCTCACCGCGGGCTGTAGAGGGATTGTCTTGGAGTCGTGCTTGCAGGTTTGTGATTATAGCAAGGATTCATCGGGGCTGCAGGCCGGTGCTCCGAGGACAAATCTACAATTACAGCTCTGAGGCAATCTCCCTACAGCTTCAGGTGAGACCAACTCACGAATCCCTTCCACTCGCCTCTTCAAACAAAATGCAAGGTACTCAAACATCTTTCTAATAAGTGATTCTTCGAAATCAAGTTTTTCTACATCAGTCTCCCATTACCTTAGAAACTTGCTCCATTCCTAATCTCATCCATTCCCTTGATTGATAGAGGATTTTGGCGTTTTTGATCTTCAATTCAAGTATTGCAGGTCTTTCTCAACCCTAATGAAGTGGCAATTTTTTATCGACTAAAGATTTCGATTGTCATTAAACTCTCTGCACTACTTATGTCAATAATAAGTATGCTCTCGCAGCGCTATAAGGTAAAATGATGGATAGAAGGTATGACAGAGCAAGACTTGGATCTAATGTTAATTATTTTTTTCAAATTATCGTGGTTTATATGCCTCTGTCAACAATGTTCCTCCTAAAATAAAGTAATTTGTTCTATGAATTGTTTTTTATCAGGCGTATTCATCCTATCTCATTTAGTAGGATAAGGGGACTCATAGTTGAACTAGTAGCAAATCCAACTTTTTTGTCAAAAATTATAACACAGAATGTGATATGGAAAATGTCACATCTACCATGTGACCAAAGGGCACTGGTGGTAATATGGCATAGTGGTTAAGGTACCAAAAGTATGAGCTGCACTGGCATGGTTCAAGTCCCGCTGGGGGTGTTGATAAGACTAAAGCAAGGTCGAAAAAACAGTCCACTCCGGATGAGAATTACTTTTGGGAAAGCAGGGCTGTTTGAAATGCAATGGAAACGTCATGTTTACTCATAGCATTGTGGAAAAATGCAATTACCCTTATCATCCTAAACGAAATGGGATGAATACATCTTATATATATGGGACTTTTTGTGTGAAAGCCAATTGAACATCAGGTTTTAATGTAAACTATAGGTTTGTCCCAGTGATTTTCAAATTGAATTATGAAAGATTTGTTGCAGCCAATTGACCGGTGCCCTGAAGGAATTTCCAAGTGGTAAAGTGAGGCTGATCTTCTTGGATTGACCGATTTTGAACCTTCCAACAAGTGTTGGCAAGCCTCGGTAGAGGATGAAGCTGCAGTTCCTTCTAAATAGAGCTGTCTGCTATGGAACAATTTTGATCGGATGGCAATGGCATAGCAATGATTGCTCTCCACTTCAACGGTAGCAGCTCAACTAGGACACCTTGCGCCACCAAAGATACCTGCTTAAGCCATCCATCATGTTGTCAGCTATGACAATTATGAGCACTCAAGTAATACTGACAAACGTAGTCTCACTTAAGCTAGCAAGACAGTTGTTGAGCTTGATGCCATTTTGAGTTGGGATCTGTGCTGAAGGGATTCGAATGGCGATCCTAATAGAAGACGACGGCGAAGTCCCTTTGCCAGCTGTCGTTTGGCTTTTTCTGCATCTTCTGAATAGCGTTGTCCTCGAGGCAATCTCCTTCGATTTAACTTAGAGTTTGCTGAGATTTCTTCCTTTATGTGTATATATATATATATCATAAATCTATTTATTTTGATGAGGTATAAAATGTTTTGGTTAATTCAAGTCATATTTTACTATAAACTCATGCTCGTGTGTCTGTTTGCGCAGGAATATGAACGAAACTCTTCATCACACACTTTCACTCTAAATGTAAGTGAGCTAAACATTTCTAAACAAAGAGATTCCTCGAAATTGGCAACCTTTCTGCATAAGTAGCAAATATCGCAACTATCAATAGATGT